GGACACCATTCCACATATTGCTCAGCAAAAATCCAGATCATGCGTAGACCATGACCAGCGTGTTGATGCACCATTATAGATATGACGGAAGAGCCCTAAATGCCAGAGGCCGCGATGCTTCCGATAAGACCCGGTTCATGATGGTGGATCAATCCCAAATTGGAATATTTTGCCCTCTTCTATGTATCCACTCTATGTGGTCAGCCGCAGGAGCAATTGGACGCCGGGGCCTTGTGGACTGGAGACGATTGAAGAGTTGCTGGAGACAAGCGCAGGCAGTAATATGTACTTTTGTTCCTGTACTTACAGCCTGGCGCACTGCAGCTAGTGAGTTGATGGAGATATAAACAGGCTGCACGGCACCTCTCGATAAGCTATCAAGCTGTTCTGGCAAGACTGTGGGGGTGAATATTGTAGACTCGATAGAAGCTAAGAGCGTGAATTCATTGTGGAGCCCCTCCGGGGTTAGAGGACATTTTTTTCAGAACGTGTTCCGTGACTGTCCTATAGGAGGCGTTGGATGCCTGCTCCGCTCGGGGAGATATCTGTTGTAGACCGTCTAAGCTGGTAAAGTCGCAGCAAGACTCAAGGATCAGCAAAATGATTTCCACTGGGAGTTTTGCAAAGGGATCGATAGGCGAAATCGATGGAACAGATGATTAAAATGGTTCTAGGGGTAATGGATGAGAACAAAGAAAAGTACTTTTGCATAGAATTAACATGATGGCTCAAAGTACTATGGATTCCTTGGGTGTACCTGATCCACATGTTCTCGACAAAGATTTTATCCGTTTATGTACTCGTATTTCAAATATCTCACAGAGGTGCGAGGACTTTTCAAGATCCTTTATATAAGTCATGTGTCTAGGGCTAGTTCTGGGGAATTGTGACAAAATAGACGTGCGGGGGATTTACCGGAGTGGGTCAAGCCCCTTGGAAAGAACATCTTGGTGTTGGGAGGGTGAGGACTATGTGAACACACTTTTTTGAGTGTTAGTATTCAAAGGGGAATTAAAACAGGACTTAGAGCTTCAAAAGTATGTTAATAGGGGGCTATGCATGAGACGAAAGCAGTTCTATCATAGATGTCGCAATATAAACAGCTGCCTCCTCACCAGTTTTACCACATATAATTGCTAAAGTCAAACTTCGCATACAACAGCTGGTCCTTGCGCATCTACATACGTAGAAACTTGAACCAACCAAAGCCAACCTCTCGTCGTTGAAAGTCAGGATCTGGTCTGTAAACTCACATAGTCCACGGGTAGGATTGAGAGTCATGTAAGGTACCAAAAACAAAACATTGAGGTGACATGAAAGATATGAATCACGTGATATGCAATACACATGACATTTGTATATGTGCCTGAGGCGCCACGGAACCCCCCCTTCTTTATGTCATCATAGATAAAGCCAGAGCTATCTGGGGAATGACCACAGCTCCTACCTAGTGACTTTTATCACGAGGACTAGGTCAGATGCATACTTCTCCTATTATAACCTTGGTATAATCACCCTAAGCAGGGCACATACCTATTTCCAACCCCATAACATTCAGCCTGCTGTGTTGATATCCCCATTATCAAGTGCCGCTGGATGGCATTTCACCACCACCATCACTGGCTTCTGAAGCTGTTGCCATGAGTGGTCTGACTATAGCCTTTAGTCTGATCCAAAATGATGTCCTCTAACATATTATCGCGGTTCCTACCGCCGACGGGCTCACCATCGGTCTACGAGACTATTCGCCAACATGACGCCGGGTCCGAATACTCTGATCTCGAAGAACGTGCAGGCTTGGTCACAGGAGACCAACAGGAACAATTTAGTGACCGGGAACTAGAGGATGCATTGGCGGATGCCCAGGACAGTGAAATAATCAGCCCCAATACTGCGTTGCTCGACCAAGCACGGTCGGGCAAAACACCTGAAGAGCGAGCTTCTCCATCTGGCACTCGCCGTCGCAAGTCGTCCCGGCCTAGGTGGATGCCACAAGAATCATCACTCGGCTATGAGTTAGATGACCATGACGAAGACGTTCCTCAATCTCTGCTCGTAGAAGGTCATCACGAAGATCTGAGATCACGGCTACCTCCTCCTCCCCAGTCTCATGATCGTTCGGGTCGACCAAGAGCCCCCAGTCCTGAGCCATCCCCGCAACCTACCCGAGCCCGTTGGAATGAACGAGGGGCAGCCCATCAACAGTCGCCCAGTGAAAGCGGTCATCCAATAAGGAGATGGTTTACCGCGCAACACCCCGGCCTTGCCAATACTGACCCCAAGAAGAAAGCAATGTGGCGATGGGCAAACGTCGAGGATCTGGATAACTTCTTAAAGGACGTCTACGTATACTTCTTAGGGAATGGAATTTGGTCCATTCTGCTAACCCGGGTGCTAAACCTCTTGTAAGTTCAGAATTGTACCCTTTCCAAATAATCGTAGGAGAAGCTGACAGTACAAAAGGACATTTGCCTTCGTTGTTGGTTTTTCTACATTTTTAACCAACTGCATTGATTACCCTAAAGTCCGGCGGAGTAAGACTCTGGACGATATTCTCGTACCCCAATGCACAGCAAATATGTCCGGTTCGGCCACATTTTTGTTGTGGCTCTTCAGCTTCTTCTGGATTGGGAAGCTTTTCCAGTACCTGCTAGACATCCGCAGGCTCAAACACCTACATGACTTCTATCTCTACCTACTCGGCGTTTCAGATGCCGAGGTCCAGACGATTTCATGGCAAGAAGTCGTGAGCCGACTGATGGCGTTGAGAGACTCAAATCCATCTACCGCAGCGGCAGTTTCTGCCAAGCATCGAAGATTCCTGGGCAGCCAGTCAAAGCAGCGAATGGATGCCCACGACATTGCCAACCGCCTTATGCGCAAGGAGAACTACATGATCGCACTAGTAAACAAGGATATTTTGGACCTCACTCTCCCTATTCCATTCCTCAAGAATCGACAACTCTTTTCGCGAACCATGGAATGGAATCTCAATCTTTGTGTCATGGACTATGTTTTTAACGAGCAAGGCCAACTGCGAACCCTGTTCCTCAAGGATACGCATCGAAGGGCACTGAGTGATGGCTTACGCCGGCGCTTTGTTTTTGCTGGCGTCATGAATATTTTCGTAGCACCCTTTATTGTGGTCTATTTTATGATGCACTACTTCTTCCGGTACTTCAATGAATTCAAGAAGAACCCGGGCCAAATCGGTTCCCGCCAATATACACCTATGGCGGAATGGAAATTTCGCGAGTTCAATGAGCTTTGGCATCTCTTTGAGCGTCGAATCAACATGTCATATCCATTCGCCAGTCGCTATGTTGACCAATTTCCCAAGGATAAGACCGTTCAAGTTGCACGGTTCGTTGCTTTCATATCTGGGGCTCTTGCCTCAGTGTTGGCCCTTGCCTCGGTGATAGATCCAGAGCTCTTCCTTGGGTTTGAGATTACCCCTGATCGGACTGTTTTATTCTATCTTGGTATCTTCGGCACAGTCTGGGCTTTTGCGCGAGGACTTGCACCCGAAGAGACCGATGTCTTCGACCCCGAGTATGCACTCCTGGAGCTGATCGATTTTACACATTACTTCCCATCCGGATGGAAGGGACGTTTGCATAGCGACGACGTGCGGAAAGAATTCGCAATTCTCTATCAAATGAAGATTGTGATATTCTTAGAAGAGATCTTGAGCATGATTTTCACTCCTTTCGTCCTGTGGTTCAGCTTGCCCAAGTGCAGTGACCGCCTTATTGACTTTTTCCGGGAGTTCACCGTGCATGTTGATGGTGTAGGCTATCTCTGCTCTTTTGCTGTCTTTGACTTCAAGAAGGGCACAAATGTGCTCTCCCAAGCCGGACCTGGGCGCCGGGACCCTGGTAAACAGGATCTGCGCACCGATTACTTCTCAACTAAAGACGGCAAGATGCTAGCTTCCTACTATGGATTCTTGGACAACTACGGTGCCAACCATCAACCTACCAGCCGGCGACAATTCCATCCACCGCCAACCTTGCCCACCCTTGGCTCGCCCACTGCAGCCGAGTTCGGTGCTCTTCCTGGTCGCCCTGACCACCTCCAGACACGTACTGGGCTGACATCCGGGGTGCCATTTGGCCCTCAGTCACTGATGGGCACCTCTAAACTAAGGCAAATGGGAGAATTCGACCGCCGCTCTCCCGCCCCGTCTATCCTTCTCGACCCGCAGCACCAGCCTTCGACCACTGGGTTTCGAGCTGCAGCCAGAACCACCCAGCGCTCCCGGCTCGGACGCTCTCAGCACCCATCTACAGAGACCATCGACGACGAGGAAGAGCCACTATCCCAAGACGGCCGTGATTCAGCAACACGTCAGTCCGCCCCTCGTACTGGTACTTCTAGTGCAGGTGCAGGCACTAGTGATAGCAACCTCGGCGATTCTTGGCGCATGAACCCACTCAGCAAGGATGATAATGACCCCGATGAAGACGATGAAGGCGAAAACATTGACGCCATCGCCGGCGGGGGCGGCGTTTTGGGCTTGATCCAGCAGTTCCAGAAAGCTAACACCGAAGGCAGACGGACAAATGTGGGGATCTAGATATTCGTTCTATGCGACTTCTAGGGTGATGGTAAGCTCGGGAATATCATAGCTTATACACGATATATGACCATTTGAAGCGGAGTTCATTGTCTTGTAGCGAACCTTTTATATATTGCTCTGTTATGCTTGTCCGTTACGACGTAGGTAGTATATTACTAGTCTTACATAGGTACGTAGACAAAGGTAGAAATACCTATAGGATAGCCACATACACCCATGAACATCAGGCACTCATTCCACCACCCATATAGCTCGGGCACATATACAAACTTTTCCAGATTATTTTACGTACGTTCCCCTCCTTTCCGATCACCTTATACCCCGCTACTCTATCACTCACCTTCCTTTTCGACCTTATCCACCGATAAACCATTTTCATATCCACAGAAATATACACCAACAGCTACTCTGAAACAAGATGTTCAACTATATCCACGAATGTATCTTTGGAAGGCCAGCGAAAAGGCCACGATCCCCGGAGTCCATTGCTTCCGCTATTGTCACCAAGATCCTCAATGCCGACACACCCTACTCACTCCACAAAGAAGTGAACGAGGAACTTTCCACCGAAGGTTGGTCTGACGCCATAGCACAGGCTATCCTCCGCGGCTTAGAGAATGCCATTAAAGTCGGTACGAACATGGCGCGAGCCGCGTCTGATGCTGCAGCCCAGAGCAAAAATGCGGCGGTTAGCTTTGCAGTAGACCATCCTGTCTACGCTACGCTGATTGCAATGGGTATTATGGCCTTGTTGACACCGCTGGCTCTTGAGATGCTTGGGTTTGGAGAGTCGGGTCCAGTTGCGGGCTCATTCGCAGCTGTATGGCAAAGAACTTATGCTGGATATGTGCCGAAGAATGCTTTGTTTGGTTATTTCCAAAGGTTGGGAATGAAATGGCATTGGGTTTATTAGAGGTCCATCTAAGTATTAGTCTGGTAGAAGTCTTTGTGAGTCCACTACATGTGGGACTGTACGGGATGATCAATATCATGGACGGCTAGGGCAAAGGGAGAGGGGAATTGTGGCTTTGTTGATAATAGTGATGAATCTACCTACTACCACAACGCCCCTCATATGCTCCATGGGGATAAAGAGGGAGTTCTAAATTTTGATTAGAAGTTGAGTAGTTGCCCTGTGTGAACGTCCTCCATGGAGTATGCCAACTTGTATGCATCGAGCCAAAAGCCCTAGAGAAGGGGAACGGCCATTTGATTTTCCCATTCCCCTTGCTATTGTCCTCTCAATTTCAAAGATGAGTACTGATATTTGGTTGCCTTCTCAGAGATACGCAATATGCAATACATAAAGTACCGATTTATGCAACTGGGTTTATGTAGCTGTCAGAGTTGCATAATTCAACCGGACTAAACGACTTAAAGACATATCGGACATGCTCATAGCACATATATTCTACGAGAAGGTTTAAAATTAAGGGATGGCTTACAGTTAAAGTTGATGGTCGAGATCTCTTGGATCTCTTGGATCTCTTAAATCTCTTGGACTCCCAAGATTGGGGAATTTGATCCTTATATAGATTACCACTATTCGCATGTCAGCTGATTCATATATCAGGATAATTAGTATTGTGTACAGGGTATCTTTTCCGGTTAAAATCGTTGCATTCCGTACTCCGTACTCCGTACATGCAATTGTAATATTCCAAAGTGTTACATGTATTCCAGGCTGCAGGGGTAACTCACACCAATGGGAGATTGATGTGGACCACATTAGCGGAGGCAGTACTTGATGTGGACTAGTGGAAGACTCGATTGATAATAGCGCCGTAGGGCAATTTGAAGACCCCTTGCGGGTTGCATTGATTCCAGTCACAGTTCGGAATTCGGAGCCAATGGGTGTTGAACAGTTTAATTCCCCCTAAAAGATGACAATTGTTTTTGACCAAGTTTCTAGTTGTAAATTGGATAGGGATTTCTCTTGAGATTAAAAGTTGAACAAAATAAGACAGAAATAGAAAAGAATTAACCAAAATAGAACTGGGAGGCTCTCTACTCCATATGTGGATCTTCTATTTACTTGTGGAGTCTCGTGATTTCATGTGGACTTGGCTAATCTCGGCCTTTTCTTCCCTTCTCTTTTCTTTATATTTTCTTTTCTCTAATACACGATGTTTCGAGCTCGCCGATACCGATCTCTGGTCGGATTCGCGGCGGCTCTTGTCTTCACGTTTTTCTACTTTGCGCGGTCACGCGACTGGAGCTATACAGTTGTAGAATCGTCCATTGGCGTTCATTCACCCCATCCGAATCAACCCGAAACACCAAGACCTGAAAATGCAGCAGCAGCTGCTGCTATCGAAGACAGTCAACATCGTATACTTCCCAATCCCTACCGTGGCACTACCGCCCCGCCGCCAGAGAAGATAATCTCGCCCGTGGGTCCCAATAGCGGCTCAAAGGACGGCACCAGCCGGTTTAAAGAAGATTCCTCCGACACTGCTCCAGTGAAAGTGAAACCGACCATCGAGGATGACCCGAAGGACTCTGCAAAGGAACCCGTGAAAGAGCCCGTGAAGGAATCGACGAAGGTGGAGAAGCCCCAGAGCTTGCCACCACCTACAACGGATAATGTCAATAGTGCAAATGAGGAGATTGATAATGGAGGGGCCGGCAGAAAGGCCGCAGAGCGCCCGGCACCTGGCATTGCAACGACCAAGTGGAAGAAGTTCCCAGAACGGTTCCCCGTCCCTGCAGCGGAGGTGATCAAGCTACCAAAGGAGCAGTCCAAAACAATCCCCAAGCTACAAGCTAAGTTCAAGGATGAGTCTAGCTCCGACAAGCAAGAGCGTCTACAACGGCTTAGCGCTATCAAGGCTGAGTTTGTGCATGCCTGGAAAGGCTATAAGGGGATCGCGATGGGACATGACGAAGTAAAGCCTCTGTCAAAGGAGTATGAAGACCCATTCAACGGCTGGGGAGCGACATTGGTCGATTCTCTTGATACTCTCTGGATTATGCAATTGAAAGATGAATTCTCCGAGGCGTTGGATGCGATCAAAAACATTGATTTCAAAACATCACTGAGAGCGGATATCCCGATGTTTGAGACAACCATCCGCTATCTTGGAGGTCTTTTGGGTGCCTATGACATTTCTGGTCATCGATACCCTGTGCTTTTGGAGAAAGCAGAGGAGCTTGCTGAGGTTCTCATTGGTGCCTTTGATACACCTAACCGCATGCCACACCTTTACTATCGCTGGGCCCCGTAAGTCTTTGATGCCACAATTTCTTTCTGATCACCCGTGGGTGACTAACCGAATTTTCTTAGAGAATATGCCGCGAAACCACATCGGGCATCTTCCCGAGCTGGCCTGGCTGAAATCGGGTCGCTTTCCTTGGAATTTACCCGTCTGGCTCAATTGACCAAGCGGGACAAATACTACGATGCGATTGCACGGATTACCAACGAATTGGAGAAAATCCAAGACTCAACTAGCATCCCTGGACTGTGGCCTCTACGGGTCAATGCACAGGGATGTTCCAAGTACTCCAAGAACACGTCGCCGCAGAATAACAACCCTACACGTGAGCAGAATGCCGCTACTGCGACCGAGAGCACTACTTCGGTGACCCATAGAACTTACGCTGCACCGACAGACCTTGAGAGTTATTTGAAGCTGCTCCCCCGGGACACAAACGCTGGCATCGAAAAACAGTCCAACAATACGAAAGCTGCGGATGAACCTAGCCTTCAAGCACGCGAGCGAAACATACCATCAGCAGATCAATGCAATGGCGGCTTGGGACTTCCCATTTCACCCCGCGATAACGTTTACACCATGGGAGGAATGGCTGACTCGACCTACGAATACCTGCCCAAGGAATACATCTTACTGGGTGGCCTGAACGACCAATACCAAAATATGTATAAAAAGGCAGCCACGGCAGCCCGCAAGTCCCTTCTCTTCCAGCCTATGGTCAAAGGTGGACGTGATATCCGGTTCATGGCCTCGACTTCTCCAGTGACTCCTGGAAAGATCGCAGAGCTCACTCCTACCGATCTTGAATACGAAGGCACTCACTTGGAATGTTTCATTGGCGGCATGTTCGCCATAGGAGCCAAGGCCTTTGGAATCGATGGTGATCTGGAACTCGCAGCCAAACTGACCGACGGCTGTGTTTGGGCTTACGAGTCGACACAAACCGGAGTGATGCCTGAGCGCTTCCGCGTCTTGCCATGCGAGAAAGGCTCGGCCTGCGAGTGGGATCCAGCCCGCTTTGAGGCTGGCGTGGCACGCTACTCGCGTGTAGACCCCGGGGCAGGACATTCGTTCCGCAATGGAGAGAGCAGCTACGAACAGCGCGTGAATTTGATTTCGCACGATGCACCGTCAGGATCCGCGGGTGGGTCCATTCCCATCCCCATGCCGGGCTCATTAAACCCTCACGATAGAGATGTGTTGCCCAAGCGCGATGGACTAGGAAACCATGTGGAACCGTCATCTATTGCTTCAAGCTCGAGTCCTTCTTCGAGTCCTTCTCCCGATGAAGCTGACTTGCAGAACCGAGATGTACCCCGGTCATCTTCAACGCTCGCATCGCCTCGCATTGCCGAAGGCGGCAAAGACCACGTCCCAGCAGGCATGACCAGTATCCCATCGCCGACCTACTACCTTCGGCCAGAGGCGATCGAGTCTGTCTTTATTATGTACCGTCTGACTGGTGACGAATCCTGGCGTCGCAAGGGATGGCAGATGTTCGAAGCAATCTCGAAGTATACCCGGACTGAGCTGGCCAACGCAGCCATTCAAGATGTCACTGCTCAGAAACCGATCCATAAGGATACGATGGAGTCTTTCTGGCTAGCTGAGACGTTGAAGTACTTCTACCTTTTGTTCAGTGACCCTAGTGTGGTGGATTTGGATAAATATGTTCTGTGAGTGACGTAGCCTGTAAACAACTGGACCAACAGCTAACTTTTTATAGGAATACCGAAGCGCATCCATTCCTGCGCCCGATTGCATAATTGTGTTTTGCATTTTTGCATTTTGATACCAATGAAAGTTCTATATATAACAAGTACATTTCCCTAGTATGTAACGTATGTTGTAGTGTGTACCTTAGGGTTGACCCGCAGTGGGACTTGAATTTCCCCCAATCTTCCCCCCCGCCCTTCAACTCTCTCCAACTCTTCAAACCGGCACATAACCGGTATGACAGTTTGACAGGGAAATGGAGCCCGAGGCCTCGGAGACTGAGTTCTGGACTGGTGTGTAGTTTTCAATCTTTTCTCCTCTTTCAAGATATGCGACGTGACAATTGACCGATTCTCGAAGAACTTCAAACGATCGTCTCCAAGCCATGCGACTCCGAAGACCAGATAGACGATGCCCTCCGAGCTTATCTTAGTCTAACAACCCAACACAAAGGTAAACGCCACTTCAAGAAGCGCTATCTCTACCCCCAACGACGCATTCCCGCGAAGTAGCGCCACGTCCGCCCCCAACTTTGTTTCCACTGCGACTAACACATCCGCCCTTACTAGGTGAATATCTACAGTCGGAAACCGATATCTCGCGATGTTCGTATAAGCTATTTACTTCGAGCATCTTTGCCAACCATGCGGACTACGTGCGACGACAGATTCTCTACGGTCTTTTGCAGGACGATGACCCGGATACCCTCCACTTCCTTGCGTCATTCATACTCTTTGACGGGCGACAAAATGAGGTTGTGCTTCAGATGCTGAATGATGAGGGTGTGTTTGCGCGTCTCCTCGAGCTTATACAGGCGATGCGGAGGGCGGATCTGGATGGCGACGCGGGTCTTCATCGTTTGTTGATGGATCTTGTGTATGAGATGTCGAGGATACAAAGGGTCAAAATTGAAGACTTAGGTGCGTGCTGGGTTGACTGCTGTCGGTATCCATGTGGACTGGCAGCTAATTATGAGGCTCGTGTGCAGTTCTCGTGGATGACGATTTTATTCGCTGTCTCTTTGATATTATCGAAGATCTCTCTTACGACGTTACGGATCCATATCATTACCCCGTGATTCGGGTGCTGGTGGGTACTTTCTTCGGGCTCTTGGTTAGAATGGGATTGACAAATTGCATAGCTCGTTCTGAACGAGCAATTCATGATCTCGGCTCATGATCCGGTGGACGGCCGCCCCTCTGGTCAATTGACCAATAAGGTTATCAAGGTCCTATCGATGTATGGTGGGATGTACAAGACATTCGGGGAGAATATCATTCTTCTTATTAACCGTGAAGGTAACGGGCGAACCTCCTATTCAACAAAACCGATGATTGACAACATGCAGCCGAGACATCCCTTCAGTTGCTCACATTGAAGCTTCTGTATCTCATATTTACCACTCCTAGCACATATGAGTACTTCTTCACAAACGATCTGCACGTTCTGGTCGATATATTGATCCGGAACTTGCTTGATCTACCCGAGGAGGCCTCCGCGCTGCGGCATACTTACCTGCGTGTTCTTTACCCGCTTCTAGCCCATACACAGCTACGAAATCCGCCGCACTACAAGCGTGATGGACTTCGAAGGCTACTTAATATTCTCGTTCGAGGACAAGTTTCATATGGGAACGACTCAGAGCACGAGAAAATCATGCATTTTGAAGAGGTCGATGAAACGACCCGTCGACTTGTGGCTCGGTGTGCGACAGTGGATTGGCTGCGCGATACCGAGCAGCCTGACCCAGCAGGGACGCAAGACACGCCCACTCAAGTGACAGTAACTTCAATTGAAACTGTGCTGGACCAAACCGTCCAACAGACGTCACCCGTAGATATCAGCGAACCACTCGATGGCTCCGGCACACTGTCCCGGACAAGCACAATCGCTAGCTCGTCTGATACGACATCACCAACACGAACTGACTCGTATAGTTCGTCTAACACGCCAGGTGGTCGGAAACACAGCTTAGCCCACCGGCTCGGCATGAACCTAGAGCCTGCATCATCATCATCACTGAGCGTTCAAGCCGTTGCAGCACAGCACGAAAAGCCAGGCATAATAACCCCCAGTCGCAAAGATGGAGTCCACGCCGCCGCCCTCAATAATGAGACGCCAATAATCCGACCACCAAAGGTCAAACCAGAACCACCGAAATCTCGTCGCTGGCGCGGGCGCCGTCTGGCCGTGGATGAAGAAGAACAACACTCTGCCGGCACCAGCAGCGACGGGAACACCATTCCCGAAGGCGTCGAAATCAGTCCCACCACCGTTTTCACCCCTAGCACACCACCTCCACAGACACATACCAGTGATCATCGCGACTCCGGGTCAGGTTCCACTCTTGCGCCTCCGGGTCCACGGCCACGGCGGGCCGTATCCAATCCACCCCCGGCCCTCCCGCCACCACGCCGTTCCAGTCATACCACGTCTTCTCAAAGTCGTCACCGGCCCCCAATCCCCCCAGGCGGAACAGGCCGACATGGACAGGCTCCACTTCCACCAAAAACGCGCCGTTGGGGACATGGTAAGCCGCAGCATGGACAGACTGACTCAGTCGAGAGTGGGGCTAGCAATGTTAGTCCATCAAAGGAGCCTGAGATTGCTGTAAACAACGTCGTGTCAGTTCAGCAAGAACGATCACCAGAGGACAGTGTTCCTTCAGATCCTTTCTCGCCGAAATCCCCTACAATGTTGATATCGCCGTCTGAGGCCACTGCAGACAAGGCAGATGGCCAGACCAATGGTGCTAGTGATGTCCATGCGCCTGTCAGTGTAGAGGAGGCGCTGCAGAATGTCTCTCTGCATTGAGCGTTGCTTCTTGAACATTTTAATTCCCCTTCTTTTCACTAGATAAACTCTTTGCTCGTGGCTCATTTCAGGTTTTCATTTTTGGCATCAAGCGCGGTTGTTCGGGTGAACAGGTTGGGACATGATAGGTTATGTGTCTAGTTACTTTGCATGAGCAATCAAATCACATTAAGGACAGGACTGGATCCCAAAATGGCAAAGAGTATTTTCGCTGACAAGAATGGAGTAGTCTACAATAATAAAACGGAATAAAAGTACAAATCTATCTCCCAGCAAAGCCTGCTATAATTAACTTCTCTCAACATCGATTGTGAGCTGGTCATCTATAGAGACTCATTCTCAAATCTTCAATCCCCAGCTTCGCCCCAGGCCAATGGCAGTATTCCACCCAAACCCAGCACACTGTCCAATACCAGTAAGCTTATCAGCAAGCGCCTTCCGATCCTCAAACCGACGCTCCACAAACGCAGCCGTCTCCACAAGATCCGGCGTCGGGTCACGGGTCATAACAACCTCAGAACTGGCATAAATAGCCGACACGGCAAGACGGCGCGTGTACCAAGCCACATCAACAGCGTCATCACCAGAAAGCGTAAGAATATCCGAAGCAAGCGCATGCAATTCCGTAAGAGAGAGGGGGATATTAGCAAGAAGGGACATTTGCGCAAGAGCCTAGGGGAAGATTAGCGGGGATCCTGTTATCTCCTCTTGTATCTTCAAAGGATATTTGAAAGACAAGAAAAATAAGTAACTCACATCTTGCCAAACATCCTTAACCTCCGCATTCATCCTCAACCTCTCCAAAAGCAATCCCTTAACCCTCTCCTCAACACTAAGCTCATGAACATCCTTCCCCTTCTCCGCCGCAATGCGCCGGAATAACCCGCCCTCCTCGACCTTGCCGCGTAGTAGACCCCGTCGACTAGCAAGCCAGAAGAGGATGAGGTCGAATTCCCCGCGCGGGAGTAGCTGTACCGAGACGTCGAGGAAGCCGGCGTCGCGTGCGCCGAGGGTCAGTGCTTTGGCGGAGAAGCCGTGCGTCGGGACGTGGGTTAGTGCCGAGGTTAGAATTGCTGTTTGGGAGTTTGTGTATGAGTGGTCTGGGAGCCTGGCATGGAGGGCTGAGTGGTAGTTTCGGTGGGGGGTTCGTGGTTGGGTACGGGATGTGGGTTGTGTTGAGCGGGAGGGTTGGAGGGTTGTGCTTATTGCGCAGGTTCGGCGGATGGATTGGGTCAGGGAGGGGAGGACCCTTTTGGGGAGAGTGCGGGCGAGGGAGGCCATTATTTGAGTGTGGTTGAGGGAATCAATGGAGAGAGGTGAAGTTTGGAGATGGTTCCCAAGGTTGGTCCGTGCGTTTGTATAAGATCCAGGTGGATTTGGTAGAATCAATGGAATTATGTATGATTTGCATATATTTGATATTTCATAGTTCCTTATGGATAGATTGGATATATATGATTTGTATCGGCTTATAATAATGTACAATAATGCCCAGCTTTGGGGGTTATGTACCTTTTTGTATAAGAATCTCCCTCGAGCCTTCAATACACTATTATATAGACACCAGAGCAAATGAGTCAATTTTGTCAAACTTCATAGGGATAGATAAGTATAAATGGAAATCCAGCGAGGCGAACATGTAGAAATATAGTATAAAAGCAGAACAATTCCCGCTTTTTCCATTTGAGGGTTCAACCCATAACATCCGAAGGGAGATATTAAGATGGATCAACAAAGAAAAGTGAAACAAAAGAACGCAAGCAGTAACTAACGGCGAGGGTAAGGGGCGATGGGTGACGACGAAAAGCACCCAAACCATTAGACCAACGCCGCGTATGCTAGGATAGCAACGAATTTCTGAATGATCACTACAAAAGCTACATGGAGCAAATGTATGGAAGAAAAAGGCTCTTTCCATTTTGGAAGCAGTTGATCAGCCCAAACGGGCACTTGAACCCCATTTTGCGAGGATAGAAGCCTCGAAAAAAACTGAAATGGGAATAAGGGAATCATTGAATCAAGAAATTGCGAAACAAAAGCCAGACGCCCCCCTGTCAAAGAAAGTGACTAGGTCAAACAAGGACGAAAAACGCTTTACATGATCTGGTCCTGGGTCAGACCGGTTGGCTCTTGGCCTTCCATTTCTTCAGGACCCGGGCCAGCGTTCATGTACTTCACGAATGTGATGCCCAAAGGACGACCTCCGTATTGGTAGCCGGAGAATTTGGCTGTGGGAAAGATATTAGTACGTGGGTATGACAGCTGCAATTCAGTGGAACGTACCAATTGCGGTTTCAGCAGTGTCGGGAGTATCAAATTGAACGACACCAGTTCCGCGAGAGCGGCCGTTGGGCTCATACTGGATTTCAGCGCGCTCAACTTTTCCGATGGTGGAGAACAAATCGACCAGGTCCTCGTTACAAGTGGACCAGGGCAACTAGGTCCGAGTTAGCAATCCATATCGTTGCCCATCGCACATCTCAAAACTTACGTTGCGAACATAGATGACAGCGCTCTTCTCGCCATTGGAAGTGGCATAATCAGTGAAAGGGTTGGGGGGTCCCGAGGGAACAGGGGGGGCACCCTGTTCAAATCCACCGGGGAAGCCACCGTGACCAGGGGGGCCAGGGGGGCCGCCGAAGCCGCCACGTCCAGCGAATCCGCCGCCAAAGCCTCCGCGACCAGCAAAGCCTCCGCGGCCCATGGGACCGCCGAAACCGCCACGACCGCCAAAGCCACCACCAAAGCCACCACGACCACCAAAGCCGGCGCCACCACCAGCGAAACGATCTTCACGAACTTCAAGGGGACGACCCTGCCAATCATATCCGTTAAACTGCGCAATGGCGTTGCGCGCATCATCAGGAGACTCAAAAGCAACAATGCCAGAGCCCTTGGGACGTCCGGTAGGGTCGGTGTGCACATCGGCACGAATGACGGCACCCTGCTGGGCTATAATACAGAATTTGGGTCAATTCACTGCTCACACTAGACAAGAAAAGTAGGAATTCAAGTCCAAGGGGGGTTAGTCTGCACTTACCAGCTGAGCGGAACAGATCCTTCAAGTCTTGCCAACCAACGTTGAAAGGAAGCTATACCGAACGGTTAATAAGGCCTGCTAGAACTTAGCATAACGGGGAGTGAAAAGAGGGGACAAACGTTTGAGACATAAATCTGACGGCCACCACCACCGTGGGGGCCTCCGAAACCACCACCGAAACCGCCTCGGGCACCGGGGCCGAAATCCCCTCGTGGGGGACCACCAACGAAACGGGGCTCGGATTCACGGTCCTAGGGACTAAAGTCAGGTCCTATACTCACAATGCCATGGATTCTAGGAAGACATACCTCACGAACATAAACAAGACGACCCATCAGGCTCTGGTTGCTGAGCGTATTCACGGCGTTTTGTGCTTGGTCCCTGGTTGCATATTCCACAATCCTGGTACACAAGTCAGTAAGAAGGTTCGATTTGAAGAAAGCCAATCAAGCACTCACCCGCATCCCTACAATATGAGATCAGCCAATGCCCACCCGTCAACTCCTACACAAACCACGAAAATCGGGGGAATAGAAGGAACTAGCCCCTCTACATGTAAGCGCCCACCTTCGACATTCCATTAGGAAGAAGCAAAACATCGGCAAAGAGAACTTCTCCAGCTGTACACAAAATCAAAACCTCGGTCAGCTTCAAACGTTCTAACAGATCACAATTCCAAATGTGCAATCATGCTCACCCTGTCTCATAAAATCCTTAAGGTGATGCCACTTGACATCATACGAAAGGTTGCCCACATAGACCCGGCGGTCTTGCTGGGACGAATCGCGAACGGTCTGCATCATATTCTCCTTGGCGACGGTACGGTCCTCAAATCGAGCGGGGGGGTATCCACTGCGTCCACCGAAAGGAGAGCCTGGGGCTGCTGCTCCGGAAGCACTCAAAGGAGATCGGGAACGGCGTTCGGGACGGCGATATTCGTCACGCTCACCACGGCTGCGGGAGCGACTGCGAGGGGAGTACGAACGGCGGGTACGTCGGGGAGGACTGCGAGAAGAACGGCGACGGGGCGAGCGAGACCTCTCACGCTGGATATGGTCAGACATGAACAAAGGTAGATAAGAAAGGCGGTGGCGAAAGCGGTGCAATGTTATGATTTTGATGAATGGAGATGGGAAGGAGTAAAAGAGGTGTTCAGAGAGCAGTTGCTACCGTGGAATGGCGCAACTCCGAGCTCGGGGTCCCCTCGTAGGTCAGGTGACCGCCGGCTTTGAGGGGGTTGTTTGTCTCAGATGCAATGAGGACCTCTGGAGTCGGATCTTGGGGCCACTGGGATACATTGCTTGCGCACACATCGCATTTTTTTTTCGAAATCAAACAATGCGATGGGAAAATGTTTCCACTTCAGGTGCATGTATGTCCAGATCTGAAAGATATCTCCAACAGACATGGCGGTTTCCACTCCCCCGCACTGGCCACACTCTTGCGATCATTGATATAGACCTAAGGGCCATGCGCTCTTGGAATGTTGTAGAATCGGTGGGAAATGAGGAATATAAAATGGAAACGGGGTTCTCGGTAAACTTACTTGGTATGGTCGATAGACGTCGGCTGGGCGGATGAACTGTCAGCGGAGAATCTCAAAACCAAAAGATAGGAAGAAATAGGGAAAAGAGAGGAAGCGGGGGAAGAGAGGATCAGGCGTCAAGGTTCATGCTTTGGGGGGAGACAAGAGACGGTGATTGGGCGGCCTGAAATGACCGGGGACCTGAATGTAGATGAGAGTAACAAACAAGTAATACAAAGATACGAAAAAGAAAAGTGTAAGAGGATGAAGAACCTACCCATGATTCCGACGAGGGGGCGTGGAGGTAAGAAGTTGAATGTGGTAAGAAGGTGGAAGGATGAAGATGCAGAATATAAGGGATGGAAGAAAGTGTTGGATTCTGTGAATCCTATAAAGACTGGGGGAATATCAGCTTGGAGAGAAGAAAATACAGAATTCTGATATGTACTTGACCACCTCGGGCAAAACCCGTCACCGCCCGGGCATATAGTTTTATTATCTATTCTATCCATGAGTATGATGATAGAAATAAAATTATGTGAAAATATACATGTAGAATAGAATATTTCATCTTTAATATACCCAAAAATAACCAAATATATGATCTAAGGACTTTGTACTGCACCTACATATGTTATGTCACTCCTCCAGAACTGTTACAGGCCTTATCACTCTTATCGTGCATCTCAACAGCTCCTGCACACCCGTGAACATCTGCACCTATGACTGGCTACACATCACGGGTATTTCAGTTACTGAATTGCCACGGCCTAATAGTATCCTACTACATCAAATTCAACTAGACCATGTTCAATTGAATCTTTTTTTTAATAAAAAAAAAGACTATGACTTCAATAAAAACCTCGAACAGAAAGTCCCACTGGGAAACGAAGGAAATGGGTGCTGAGTGCCCTGCACTGGGAATCAAGAAGAAACAAAGAAATCCATTTGCGCCACACCCTGCCGGTAAAACGAACGCCGACACAGCATGACTTTCATGCTATGGGATAAACGGGACCTGTGTGGAAACAGTCCCAACGAGAGGATCAAAACGCCTTCGGACGGGCGAATTGGATAAGAGGCAAGGAAGGATACATGTACAGACAAAGGAGAATATTGAAGAAAATAAGAAAAATGAAAAGGCAAATGTGGAGGTGAAGATAGGGAGGGTGAAGTACTCATGCTGCCACATGGGTAGGAGGATATCGACCTGGCATCTTCATGTCCAGGGCAACAGTACTGTCTGTATGGGAACGCAGCAAGTCAGATGGAACCTTGGCTACACTGTCTGACTCGGGGCCTTGATTGATATAACCATTCTCAAGGTCAAGGGTATGAATCTTAGGGAGCTCCTGATCATCTACCGAGGTAGGATTGGTATTGTTGGTATACTCAGTCGCATTGGTGTTAGTAGGCACTGTAGAGACACTCTCCCGGCGATCAACCTGGGCAGGAGCCGAGTGATCGCGACGATCAGAGATACCGACACCTGAGATGGCAGCAAGGGAAGCCTGGTCTCCATCAGACCGGATCTCGCGGTCATCCGGGTTCGAATTTTCCAGTTGCTGACTTTGTCGTTGTTTAGCCACTATTACGGACGGTCCGATCCAGTCGCCGTAGTAGCTATCGTGTTGGGTAACTTTAGGGCGAGACCTTTCATTGGTCTCCTCGTTGGATTGGTAGCTTTGATAGGCGTTGTCTCCTTCGCGGCTACCT